GGCATTAACACTTATTTATGGACTTGCATTGTTGTCTTGTGGTACGCAACAAAAGGCTATTCCATATTAATAGGTTACCTATGAAATTGCCGTTCTGCCGTACTGGCTATTTCAAGTCCAATTTCTTTTTTCGCTAAGAAATCTATGTTCGATGTATTTTATTTTTAAATATGTAATTCTTTTTTCAAAATTGTTCATTTGTTTAGTAGTTAGCGTTCTGTTTTTAGCGCATTTGTACGATTTTCGTCATCGTGTATCGTTAAAAATTAGAGTGTTTATGAAGTATGAGTACCGTCGTGGCAGCAAAAGTAGAAGCTGCACGCAACATCAACTACGTATACGGAGCGAACACAACTAACAATCGCACCACCCGTTATTGGTTTGCCCGCTTCCGTTCTGGAAATTTCGACTAAAGAAATGGAACAATGAATTCTGTTTGACAATTACAAGAGCTCTACAAGTTGGTAAAATCCTGGTTCAGCACCTGAACAGTGCCCCAAACGAATTGTGTCCCCCTAAAAAGTGATGGTCACTGTTTGGTGGTCTATAGCTGGTGTAATTCATTACAGCTTTTTACCAAACGGGATGAGCATTACTGCAGATGTGTACTGTGAAGAAGTGAACACATTAATGGAGAAGCTCGCACATCTCCAACTAGTTTTGGTCAATTGTTCGGTTCTGCTGCTCCTGCAAGGTAGACGGTCTTCAAGTTACAAGAACTGCTGTTAGAAGTTCCCCGTCATCATCAGACCTTACCCCTACAGACTTTTATTTTTTTCCAGTATTTGGATACTTCTTAGCGGGGGAAAAATTCAAGAGAGAGAGGCACTTCAAAATGCCTTTCAAGAAGTAGCTGCCTCCAGTCCCGTCTACTAGATTTACTAGACAAAAAGGGTGTTAACTAAAGTAATTACATGGGTAATTACTTTGGTTATTTAAAATAAAAATATAGAAAAAAGGGCGGTAACTTATTCATGAAAAACGGCAATTTCATAGGTAAAGACATAATATGAAGCTTGCGATATGGCATATGGTTTGTTTGCAATTGCGACGCGATGAATACTCAGAAAGTTGTTGCCTCAGGCTTTGAATAATAATATTATGTTTATCAAACTATTTAGTATCATAATAAAATAAAAAATAATCAAATTGAATTAGTAACATAACATAATGCTCAAGTGCCAATATTTCGAAAATAAGTATAATTATTGTATCGTATGTCCTCGTAATTTTCTATCGAATCGGCTCTGTAAGTACAGTACCCCTAGCACGAATCATTATCGAATTCGAATAGTTTGCAAACCGAAATGTCAATGTCAAATTTTGTATGGAAACTTGAACAGCAGCGCCACAAAGTACGTAACGTGAACTAAAAATCAGTACACATTTGACAATGACATTTCGGACTCGCAAACTATTCGAATTCGTCACGTTTGCGAGTCCGAAATGTCATTGTCAAATGTGTACTGATTTTTAGTTCTCGTTACGTACTTTGTATGTCTGCTTCATTTTTAAAACAAGGATCAAGCACTTTTTAAGCAGATGGAGTATAAAGTAAATAACAGTAACGGTTTAGCGTTTAACACTAACAAAATTTATTATATACTACACCTGCTCGGAAAGAGCTTTATTAAACTACACCCTCGTTGGAAATCGGTCACTTTTCCTCCCGGTGGACAATGTACTTTTGATTATATTATTGTATCCATCCATCAGCATTATAGTTAACATATCGGTACCTTTAAATATAAGTTTAAGGACTGATAAAAACTATTATCATATTTTGGTCTAAAAATGTTCAATAATCGCTTTGATTTAACATGACAAAAACATCAGCTAAACATAGCGTGCTTGCCGTATTAACCTGTCGGCTGAACGATACCTACTTAAAGCTTACACAAATGTAGGTAGGTCCGTAGCAGTGAAAGCATTATGTTTTTCGTATTAGACGGTATAATACGAGTAGCCGACATGATTGTGTGGCGGGCGGGCGACGGCGGCGGCGGGCGCGCCTGCGCCGCTATATTTAACTATAGCGAGGGCAGCGGCAGCGGCTCGAGGCGGCTGCAGCACCATGCCCATGTTTTGACCATTCACACATTAAAACTACTGACCTGGGATGCTTTCTGACCTACTCTAAATATATTCATTAATGGCCAGTTTCAATAATCAACCTCAAGTAAAAGGTAAGGATAATTTGGTTTCGTATCTTAGCAACGGTTGTTGTTTTACTTTTAATAATAAAAATATCTTAGCAACAAAGTTGGATTACCTCTAACTGGAGTTTGATTGTAACCGGCCTTAAGACTATAATAACAACTGTTGCTTAGTAACGGAACCAGATTCTTAACTTTTACTGGAGGTTGATTTTTGAAACTAGACGTAAAACCGCTCTTGGATACTTGATGACCTAACGATTTTTTTCTCTTTTACCCCTACTTATTTTTTTCTCTGTGACCCTACAAGAGCATGTTACAATCTAAAGATATTCAATAAATCATGCATTTACTATTATGTTGGTCATCTGCCCATTGTAGGTCCATAAGTTTGTTTTTTGGTTTCGTGGTTGATGTAACACATTTATCAAAACCATTTTATACAAATATTTTATCAATGTGTCTGAAAAGGTGGGCGACATTTGTATGAAGCATCTAAAACATGTGTCATTTATGAATTCTTCTCTAGTCTGTCATTAATAATATAATTAAATTTAATGTAAGTGGTCATTTTTCGATCATTCATACAAATTTGTCACACTTTCCATTTCATTTCATGTTATTTTCATTTGATGATTCATGAAATCGTTGAAATAAATTTAAGCAATTATGAACATTGATTAAAAAAAGCAGTCATACTATGCTACACCCCAAGTTAAGTATTAATTAAATCTCAAAATGAAATTAATTCTCTTCTCTAAATATCTACACGTCAAACATATTTCACAAAAACAACTAAAGTACACGCGAATTTTGCAACTCCAAAAAGTTTCAAGGGTTTCCTGACTCAAGAAGAAGAAGCCATTGAAGTATCACTTTTTTGTCCGTCTGTCTGTGGTTTGTCTCGGTTTCGTAAAACCGCGCCACGAATTATGTTGAAATATCATATACACCATTGGAACCTATAACGTGGTTTGTGTCCGTCTGTATTTCGTGGGGTTGTCCGCAAAATTTTAATTTGGAACGTAGAAAATCATGCAAGGATGCTTCAAATAACATGCCAATACATCGTCAAATTAATAAAGTAAATGACCGTTTTTCAAACACTGGTTCAATCTATAACGTGGTTTGTGTCTGTCTGTACATATGTCTTTTTTGTTACATGTAAAGATATCATAAACTTTCAAATACCCCGGATTCGCACGACAATCGCTTATTCATGGTTTTTTTAATTGAGGAATTAATTATTGAAACAGAAAAAAACTTAAAAAAGAATAAACTTAAAAATGAAATGCGAAAATAGGCGGTCAATTCGCAAACGAATAACAGTCTATAGTTTCCGATTTTATAACGGAATTCTATTCAATAGCGATAAACCATTTAACGCTTATTTCTGAAGGTGTATTTTGCTTATTTTTGCAATAACACTTCATAGAGTACTTAAAAAAAATCGTTTTATATAAATGGAAGTGCTAATATAAACTTATATAACTGTTTGTTTTCACAGGAACGTGTTCCTTACGAAGTTTCACAACTTGTTGCATGAAGACATTGTGAATACTTGAACACGAAATCTTTTGTTTTGTATTTTGAAACGAATTCCAAAGTTGGAAGTCCAGGCAAGTTGTTTTAATAAGAAGCCACAAAAATTCAATATTAGACCATCAAAAATAAATTAAAATCTAAAAAAACCATAATAGTAATGTCTATCTAGGATAATGTATCAAATATCAACCAAACACATCTCAAATAAATTTTGGTTTTGTTGTATTTTAAGTCATTATTATTGATATATGAATTTATAATTTTATGAACTTAAAGTATAGAATATATCTGTCCCTTATAAAAAGTACAAATCTTGTTGGCTGACTTCTTAATCGATGGACGCGTCTTGGCGGTAACAGCAAGTCCACAATCCCCTCGCAATAAGTGACGAAACATAATGAGTAATGTTATACAAAACTTTTGTTTGGTGTAGTGTATGCCTTGCCGGGAGCTTGTGAATATTTGACGACGCCGCCGCGGCCGGCAGCTGCCGGCCACCGAACACGCAATGAATGAACTATTCCGTACCAGATAACTGTTTTATGTCTGATGAACTAAATATGTTTCACGTACGCAATCAACTTTGATAGCTATATTTTCAAGAATAAGTCAATGCATTTGTGTAGCGACTTTATGAATGACGACCGACATAGTATAATAATTATGACTCAACATATTGAAAGTGATTGAGGGTGACGCTGTATCGTGAAGCACAGTAGGTAAGGAGAATATATTAAACCTAACCCCAGCACGCTTTCAGTGCGGTTTCAAGGTCGAACATTTCCTTATTGAAATGATTTAATACCTAATTTAATACTTATTAAGTTTTTATACTTATTTCAAAAAGGCATATATAAAATGCGTGACACATTTCTTTGCAGCTTTTTCCATAGCATAAATATTGAACTAACGTCGCTGTTTTATTCGTGACTAACCCATTGTTTACTTGTATATAAAAATTTTCACTCCATAAACATTATAGCAGCGCAGGGTGCTTCACATTTTTAACATAACCATAATCTAGGTCAATAGGTGAGTTACTTCAAAAATATAATACAAATGAAGAGGTAGTAAGAGTGTGTGTTGATATCATATGAATATCATTATGTTTTATTGCTATGCTTTAAACTATCCGAGGCTTTTTGTAACCGTGCCTTTAATCATTATTGTTTGATTAAAAATAATAACGCATTCTCTCGCAATGAATCAGTGTAGAGAATGCCACGGCCATGTAAACGTTTATATTTTCGTCGTGGTTTCGTGAGTTGGCATCAGCATGGAGGAGTGAGTGATACTGACCGCCGTCGGCGTACGTTTCTGATCCGTATCCGTCTTGTAGTCCATTGGCCCAGGTGCCCTCGTACTTGGCGTTGCTGGTGGTGCTCTGGCGCACGCCATAACGGCCCTTGTAGCCCTGTGTCCACTCGCCACGATACAACCACCGGTCACGTGTCTCGACGCCGAGTCCGTGCCGTTTGCCATTTTGCCACTGGCCCTCGAACGAACTGCCACTGTAACAAATTAAAAATATGCAAATTGAAATAGTAATTCATCCATACTATACTATACTATATACTATATATATATACTAGCTGACCCAGCGAACTTCGTACCGCCATAAAAAAATGTAATTAAAAAAACATTGTCCAGCGGACAAAATTGTAAATCTAAACCATTCTCAGATCCCCTTGAACACACACAAAAAATTTCATCAAAATCGGTCCAATCGTTTAAGAGAAGTTCAGTGACATACACACTCACAGAAGAATTATTTTATCTATCTATATATTATTATTATTATAAATTATAAATGGAAAAGTGTGTTTGTTTGTTTGTTTGTTTGTCTTCTCTTCACGCCCAAACCGCTGAACCGATTGTGTTGAAATTTGGTAAATGTATAGCTTGAACTTATGAGACTGCTATAGGCTACTTTTTTTTAATTTATATATTCGAATTTACATAATTTTCAACTAAATTAATCATTTTCATGGTTGGTCCCGATAGAGATGGCGCTACTGTCACGAAGACAGATTAAATTTGAAATGTGGAAGTTGCTAGCACCACTCGTGTTCAATACCGAGTATTTTGTGTTAGTGTTTCATTTGTTAAATCGAGGTAATTTTACGCAATTTCTTTCTAATCTCATTTTTAAAATTAAATCTAGCAAATACTACTCTAAATTTATAATATAAAAATATCATTTTCGAGTGATTATAGATACCAACTCAACCGAGTAGTCTCTCTGGAAATAATATTTTTTGAGTAACTTAATAGATGGCACCACCCGTCTTTAAAATGAGTATTTTTAATTGTTTAAAAATCTGAGTTGTGATATTGCGTTTTTTCAGATCGCGCTATTTATGAACATGACTTTTTAATATTTATTGCTATATTTTAATTAAAACAATATTAGTAAAAAAAAAACGACCTCCTTCAGTGTCCTAATATTTTACCAGGAAATCTTATAAACATCAAAAAGATATTAAATAATCAGCTGTTTACAGTAGACAGATACTAAATAAACAGCTGTTATGATTTATTTTAGTCCCTTAATCGAGTATTATCCAATAATTTTCAAGTGAAGATTGATCCTGGATGTTAATAGAAGTAGGCGCTACCAACTCGAATAACAATTCGAAAACCAAGCTGTTGCGTGTGAAACTGAAGAGATGTCGCTATCCGTCATAAAAAATCAAGTCTACTTGCACTAAAAATTTGAGGTTTTTCGGATGGCGCTATTCATGAACATTACTTTTTTATATTTATTGTTATTAATAGTATTCTGTTATCTGTGCTATTAGAGAAGAATCAACGTGGTGGTGTTAAGTGCTTACTATTTCAGCAGGTAAGCAACAGCAAGCAGTAGGTACCTACCTACCTTGATTGATTTTAAAGAAATACGATTTACCAAGGTACCTGCCTACCTACATATCTGTTTTTGTTTTCCTTTGTGATTTGGTTTTGTTGTGCATTAAATGAATTATGTAGGTATTTTGGTAGTTTCTTCGAATGTATAAATTTGGCTCACTGATAAAAATTACGATTATTATATTATAACCTACCTACCTCGATTTTTACCAGTAAGATAGACAACGCATAGATAGGTATTGGTTTTTGTAATAATATGGTATTGTAGTTTTTGATTGGTTTTGTTGCTCTGAAAGAAGGGCTGCCTATTTGCTAGATACCTTTGTAGATAGGTAACCTACCTACCTTGATTGGTACCTACCTACATTATCTACTAAGTGCGCATACTATTTCGGCAAGTACCTAGATAGGTAAATACCTTGATTTTTATAAAATACAAATTACCTATCTACATACCTACATAATATATGTTAAGTATCTGTTATTAAAATAATTAAATTAAAAAAAATCAAAAAGGAATATTAAAAAGCAATCGTTTTGACGATTAACTTAACACATTGATCTTGGGTTTTTGTGAAAATAGGTGAATGGATAATTATTCGCAATTTTTTGGATTTTAAATACCTACCTACTATAAACAAGTTGAGTAGGTGCTTACAAAACATTTTTATACTGTTGTAATTAAAATAGGTAATTTTTTTTTATAAAAAAAAAATCAGATACTTACCTTCACCGTAATAATGACGCGCAAACGCAAATCTAGCCTTTATAGAGTATCCTCTCAAGCACGAGCAAAGAGATTAACTAGGTCGCAAGAATCTCTTGAAGAAATTGAACTGAGAAGGCAAGAACAGGCAGATCGCCAAACTGCTTTGAGGGCCTTAGAATCACTGTCGCAGACACAGAGAAGACTTCAGGAGCAGACAGAGCGGCAGGCTCATTTGAGAGCCTCTGAATCGGATGTTCAGTCTCAACAAAGACTACAAGCGGGGAGTCAAACTGCTTTAAGAGCTGCAGAAACACCTGCTGAAACTCAGCAAAGACTTGATGAGCAAGCTCAACGACAAGCTTTTTTGAGGTCATTCGAAACACCTGAACAAGCACAGGCGCGCAGAGATTTAAATGTACGGCTTCAAGCAGAAAGGCGCCGTAATTTTAATAGAAATAAGCTACTTTTTTATTCACTATGTCAAAAGAGGATGATAGCCTCAAATAGGAAAACCACGCGAGCGTAGCCGCGGGTAACAGCTAGTTACAATATAAATGGTGAACTTATTATAAGAAATAGAAGGCGCATTTTCTTTAATTTCTTCAATTGTACAAAGTACCCAGAGAAAGAATAAGGTGTGTTTTACGAATTTTTGTTTTTCTTCGATGCGATATTTTCAAAAGTTGGTCTCGAAAGTTCAGTGATTGCTTTATTTTTTACCGGCTCATTTTACGGTTACTTGCTGTGAAGCACAATTTCTAATACTAATATTAACTTTCACTACGATAAGTTCGATAATAAATTAATTGTATGATTATAATTTTTATTATTTTTAAAGCATGTAACTGCTTGATGTTTAAATCTAAAGAAAATATAACTAGAAAAAATTCCACGCGGTCCAGGCAGCAGACGGGACTCGAACCCGCACCCTTCGCAATCCGGGCGAATGCACTGACCAATTATGCTACCGCGGCCCTCACGGACCGCGTCGAAATTCCTTCTAGCTATTCTTAAGCTGCAAGGCAGCGCCATCTCTTCGCATTATAGGTAAACCCACAATGTCAAATGAATACTTTTACAAGTATTAAACATTTGAAAGAAGAAATAGCAATTATAGTTATAATTTTTATTATTTTTAAAGCATGTAACTGCTTGATGTTTAAATCTAAAGAAAATATAACTAGAAAAAATTCCACGCGGACCAGGCAGCAGACGGGACTCGAACCCGCACCCTTCGCAATCCGGGCGAATGCACTGACCAATTATGCTACCGCGGCCCTCACGGACCGCGTCGAAATTCCTTCTAGCTATTCTTAAGCTGCAAGGCAGCGCCATCTCTTCGCATTATAGGTAAACCCACAATGTCAAATGAATACTTTTACAAGTATTAAACATTTGAAAGAAGAAATAGCAATTATAGTTATAATTTTTATTATTTTTAAAGCATGTAACTGCTTGATGTTTAAATCTAAAGAAAATATAACTAGAAAAAATTCCACGCGGACCAGGCAGCAGACGGGACTCAAACCCGCACCCTTCGCAATCCGGGCGAATGCACTGACCAATTATGCTACCGCGGCCCTCACGGACCGCGTCGAAATTCCTTCTAGCTATTCTTAAGCTGCAAGGCAGCGCCATCTCTTCGCATTATAGGTGCCGATGCCTTGCAGCTTAAGAATAGCTAGAAGGAATTTCGACGCGGTCCGTGAGGGATTGCGAAGGGTGCGGGTTCGAGTCCCGTCTGCTGCCTGGTCCGCGTGGAATTTTTTCTAGTTATATTTTCTTTAGATTTAAACATCAAGCAGTTACATGCTTTAAAAATAATAAAAATTATAACTATAATTGCTATTTCTTCTTTCAAATGTTTAATACTTGTAAAAGTATTCATTTGACATTGTGGGTTTACCTATAATGCGAAGAGATGGCGCTGCCTTGCAGCTTAAGAATAGCTAGAAGGAATTTCGACGCGGTCCGTGAGGGCCGCGGTAGCATAATTGGTCAGTGCATTCGCCCGGATTGCGAAGGGTGCGGGTTCGAGTCCCGTCTGCTGCCTGGTCCGCGTGGAATTTTTTCTAGTTATATTTTCTTTAGATTTAAACATCAAGCAGTTACATGCTTTAAAAATAATAAAAATTATAACTATAATTGCTATTTCTTCTTTCAAATGTTTAATACTTGTAAAAGTATTCATTTGACATTGTGGGTTTACCTATAATGCGAAGAGATGGCGCTGCCTTGCAGCTTAAGAATAGCTAGAAGGAATTTCGACGCGGTCCGTGAGGGCCGCGGTAGCATAATTGGTCAGTGCATTCGCCCGGATTGCGAAGGGTGCGGGTTCGAGTCCCGTCTGCTGCCTGGTCCGCGTGGAATTTTTTCTAGTTATATTTTCTTTAGATTTAAACATCAAGCAGTTACATGCTTTAAAAATAATAAAAATTATAACTATAATTGCTATTTCTTCTTTCAAATGTTTAATACTTGTAAAAGTATTCATTTGACATTGTGGGTTTACCTATAATGCGAAGAGATGGCGCTGCCTTGCAGCTTAAGAATAGCTAGAAGGAATTTCGACGCGGTCCGTGAGGGCCGCGGTAGCATAATTGGTCAGTGCATTCGCCCGGATTGCGAAGGGTGCGGGTTCGAGTCCCGTCTGCTGCCTGGTCCGCGTGGAATTTTTTCTAGTTATATTTTCTTTAGATTTAATTGTATGATGTTTTAAAGTCACGTGGCTTTAGAGAATGAGCTTTGAATTATTGCATAATTATATCGTTCGCAAATAAAAATAAAAGAGTCTTAATATTATTATTATATAATCATTTTTATTGACATATTATTTTATTTTTATTGACATATTTATTAATTTTAATTATTGACAAATTTAATTTTATATTAGAATTTCCATAATAATAATTACAAAATTAAACTAGTACTGTA